ACAAAAATAAAAAAAACAAATTATAAATTACCGTTTTCATTATTTTAATATAAAGAAACGAAGTATGTAGGTACAATTTATTTCTAAATATTTTAAAGAAGCGAGACTGCCACTGACACACGCTATTGATGTCTATTTTTGTTCCGCAAATATTGTTTAAACTTTTAACTTAATTGTAATTTATCTTCAGGTTGATAATGCGGAATGCTGTATGAATCGCCGGATCAAGTCATTCGATTAAGCAGCCGTGTTATATCGATCAAATATTGATAAATAATTTGAAAAAAAAAGCAGAATATTTAAAGTAGAGAAAAGTCGACATTGATCTTCTAAAGAGACAGAATTAAACAATTAAAGAAAATAAAACCTATTGTTCATGTATTTGTGACTAGTCTTTATAAAAATTGACTAAAAATGAATTTTACAAATGCGAAAATAATACTCTTACAATTTTCTTTTGCAAATTATGCAGTTTAAATTATATTTAACATATTTAATATTTACTTCTCTTATTTATCTAAATGTTAAATATTGCAAAATTCCAAAGTATTACAAAAAATTACTATATTACCTGATATAAGATACTTTTTAGTTTGTATATATATTTTAAAGTTTTATTTTTAGCTTTTGTTTGAGAAATATAAGTGATACCAAAAATTAAGTTGTATAATGGTATCGGCAACTTTTCTCTATAATTAACTCTAATCGATATTTGCTCCAAAATTTCCTTAATTGGAGTATTCGCGGATTCAGTGTACCTACCCGACAAACTTTAAATTAATGTATCTTTGCTTAAAGTTAACGCAATTAAACAATTTTTTTTATTTTAAAGGTCAAAATCTGAGAAATAAGATTATGTGTAATTTAAAATAACGTAAAGTTGTGAAAAACATTTGTTATAAACAATTTTTTCACAACATGATTCGGAAATTTAGTGCGGATAATTGGAAAAAGTGTTCACTGGAGTTGCGAATACCAATGAGAGTTAGGTATAAAATTAGATATTTTTTGATGCGTTTGTTTCGAGAACGGGGCGTTAAGAAGCATAAGACCACTGCGCGCCAAGTTATCATTCGCACGACAGTCAAGACAGCAGGTGGCAACGAGAGCCGCTCTGTGCGCGTCATGATATTACTCCCGCAACGCAGGAACAAGTAGTGAAAGATACTAAATCATGTCGCACAGTTATTACGATAAATGGTTATTAATTAAGGATTCAGTAAACGCATAAGAAATAACATTTTAATCTAATAGAAGTAGGGTTTTTTAATTAAAAAAATATGTTTTCACTAATAATAATATCTCTATTTCAAAATTACATGTACCTAAACCAAAAATACACAATTCATTTTAAGATTTATTCAAATTCAAGCATGGCTAACAAGATAATTAATGTCATAAAACAAAAATTTATAATTTATATTTTCTCTCGTTTGCATATTTAAAATGAATAAATCACACGACATATCATTGACTATATGACTCGATAAATAACCGTTATTTTTGATACGTTTATCACTGTATAATAATTATTAACAAATTATTACAAATTACTTACATCTTCTCTTTTTAACGTCATTCGAAATATAATTGATGTTAATTACTTCATTAGAAAGAATTATTAGTTATTTATCCGAGAGAGAAAGAGAGAGAGAGAGAGAGAGAGAGAGAAAGAGAGAAAGAAAGTATAAGATTTTAATAAATCAAAAGAATCAGATTAAATTGTCGAAAAAATATCGTATAACTTAATTTTATTCTTTTCATTTAACTTATTAAACTCATTCAATTTCACTGCGCTTGGAATGTAAAAAAAGAAATAATAATAGTACTTTCTTTTAGATATTATTCTTTCTTTAGATATTATAAAAGAAACTTAAAAAAAACAATAATATGGTTATATTATTGTTATATGTACATATTACCATATGTTGTATATTAATATAGAAATACGGTAATATGATTAATATATTTCCATAAATATTTTTCATCAATCAAAATATATATATATAAACTTGAATTATCGAATAAATACTATATTTAGTACCAGTAACATATCTATTCAAAGTTTTAGTAAAGATTAGTTTAAATTAAGCATGCATCGCCACATATCTTGTTAAATCAGAATAGATACCAATATAAAATATAACAGCACAATATAAAAAATTATCAATATTATTTTTTAGAATAAAATATATTGTATTAGACATGTATGTTATAATTTTATTAATGTATTAGAATAGTGTATCATTATTATATTGTATAGATTAAGAAGACATATTTTAATAGTTTATATGGGAATTCAAAAAATATTAGTTTAGATCGCGAAATTCGTTGTCTTAATAAATTATCATATATTTGACAATAGTCAAATACTAAAATAAAAATAAAAAAAATAACTCTGCAGCATAATGCTAAACGCCTGTTATCGTTGCTCGCGACACAACGCATATAAGAATCCGCTCGAAGTGGAAAACGAACCGGTATAACGAGTTACGCAACTTTACATAAAGATGGCTAGGTCGCAAACATCAATAGAAACGCGATATAAGCGAAAATATTTTTTCCTTTATTATTGTGAAAAAAAAATCACGTGAAATGCGAATGTCGAACTCGGTGCACCGGAAATGGAAATCACAAAATTGTTGTCGTATGAAAAAAAATTACGTCGCATTCATCTTGAGATTGATGGACCACCGCCGTGCAATACATCATACGACTGCGGAACAGCAGAGAAATCCTTTAATCGCGAAATCAGGAATTAGTAATTACGAAACTAGTGAATGTGCATATACATCATTTGAATGCTCCATCGTATAATTTTAATTGATTGGATCTATGTGCGTGATACTCAATCGAATGTCAGAATTTTAGAAAAAATTAAATTTTATATTTATCCATATTATAGTTGAATCCTCTGTTTGATACGTACGATATGTATGGATTTATATATAAAAATAGCTATATTGCTGTGCAGCATTGAGAAAGCAGAGGGCAAAGAATAGTGCCGCGAAACTCATTACAAGAACGTTGTATTCTTAATTAGAATATTACAAAGTTATATCAGCAGGTGTAGATCCAATTTAACACAGATATTCGCCGCCAGCTCTTGTAAGACACGGAGCTCAAAGCGATTTTGCTCTTCTTTGCCTCTTTCTCCCCTCCCCTCTTTCTTTTTATTTCTTTCTTTCTCGTTTTATATCTCAGTGGTCCTTTGTTTTATGCCTTTCTATCTCATTTCCTCATTTTTAGTCATTCTCTCTTTCATCTCCTCCGACCAAGCGTTACCATCGAAGTAAAGTAGATATTGTTGTATCAAATCGTTTAAAACTTAGAGAATAGCCAAAGCAAACTTTACTCCAGGAGAGAGGAAGAGGGCGAGCTCTTTAATGTATCTTATTAGAGAAAGTGTGGAAGAGACTAGCTTATTATTTAACGATAATTAAGCTTCTAAAGGAAGATTCGAAGATATCCTCAACTTCCCTTCCATTGAAGCGAACGAGAAGCGATAACGCGGCGAGATATTGCACGCTGAACGGAAGATTGATTAACGCCGGATTGAAGGTGTGCAATGCGTATTAGCTCCGCAGAGCTTGCGTACGACTTTCTTAAAGAGACATTCTATTCACTTTTCTTATTCGCGAAATAATAACTTGCACAGAATCAAAACATCGATGCAACAATGCGCGAATTTAGATAAGGAATAGGTAAAATAAATTTTCGCATTACGCTGTTAAATCTATAGTGTTAAATTTAACCCTATTTAAGTCCTTAATATATATAGTTATTTTTAAATAAGTAAGTTACCACCACTTAAATCCTAATTAATATATAATTATTTTTAACTGAAACAATATACGAGTTATTTCTAAATAAAACAAATAGTATTTAACCTAAATTTGGGCTAAATTTGAATTGTTTAAAATTATTTATCTTTATTGTTTTAGTTAAAGAATAACTATTTATTAAGTAGGAGCCGTGGCGATTTAAATAAAGTTAAATTTGACATTATAGATTTAACAGTGTATGTTTCGTAAGAACTAACCGTAACTTTCCGTAACTTCGCGCCCATTCTTTGTGTAATGAGATTCTTCGATTTAAAGTCAAAGAGCAGCATGCATCGATGGATACGCATAAATGAATATAATCCAAGCAGCAACATATCTATGTCCGTAAATGGGGCATAAAACGTCTATAAAGAGACGTCACTTAAACGGTTTTCAGACATCAAATTATAAGACGTCTTATGACTCACTTTTGGACATACGTGCTGTTGTGTGCTGTCCGACCAAAAGACCCGACTAAAAATCGAGCCGAAAACGTCAAATTTTCATAATTAATTATCGCAATAAACAGCCGGTTTAAGGAAGGGAGGTATAGAGAACAACGGCACGCAATACAATCCTATTGTTTTGAAACGATTCTAGCAGATGTTGCAGTAATCACCTTTCGCCATTCATACATGACAAACCTAATGTAATTATACATGCCTGTTCCGCATAGTTTCGTGTTATGAATGATTATTACAATTCTAATTGTATAACACAATCGTGCCTTATCGAGCTGTAATAACGTTTCGACATGCGTTAGGCTTCCAAATAATCAAATTTATCCTCGGCAGCAGCACGTAATTACCGAAAGTGAAGTCTCGTGTACGTAAGTTACATTCGAATACGGAAAATAATACTAGTACTGCATTATATACAAATCCCGGATGTGATACTGCGTTATTCACGTGGAGATCTCGAAACACAAATACGAACTAAACCCGGTAATATTTGTCACTGTGTAAATATTGTAAATCGGAGAATTAAATTCACTAGAAACATGTTCGTGTATTCGAACATTTATGCCCCACGGCAGATTTAATCATGTTATAGCTATCGTATCGCATATATATTGTATTATTACCACGAATACTCTATACGGATGTTCAAAAATTTCTCACGTTTAAATAATTATTCCCAATTATTATTAAGCATGCCGAAATAAAATCCACATACCTTGGCACATTATTGTGATAATATGCAGTATACTGATGGTCAAGTATCGACTCCTTCTCTGTCGGTCTGCCATTTTTCCGTCGATAGTCACTACAAATTCCGAAGTTTAATCTGTAACAGAACAAAAATTTCAGTCAATCATAGAAAAGAAATTAATAAAGAAAATGTTGTCAAATATAGCCTCGGTTACAAGTATAAAGCACCCTCAATTTATTGCATTTTCCTGGAAGAGGTAATAAAAGCCAAAAGAGAACTAACAAAATACTAAAATTGTTATAAAAACAAATCTTATTTTTTTATCAAATTGTTGTTTAATTTATTTTTTGTTAGATATATCATAGAACGTTTATATCAATTTGTGAGAGATTTCTTATACTTATGGCCAAGGCTGCATCCTTTTCTTAATAGAAAATTTCTGCTATGAAGCATTATTAACCCATAAAGGACACCTGAGTGCAAATTTTCGCACCAAGCGTTTTAAAGTTTTATATCTTCTAAAAATAAAAAGCAAAATTAAAGTAAAATGTGTTTCTCAATGTAAAATTTTTTGACCAATCGATTGAGAATATTCGAAAAAAAATTTCGAAAGAAGAACGTAATTGTTTTCGAAACTTCGAGTTAAACAAAACCATTCAAAAGAGATGTAGCCTTTACGAGTTAAGAGTTATCTACATTTTTTTCAACAGAATGGAGTAAATCAAGAAAAGCATGGAAATTAAATGTGAGAGCGATCGTAAGCGACAGGATGTATTTACCATCAATAATACGATTTACCGCGGGCGTTGAACACTACTCATGTCCGTGAGATCGTAGATTATTTATTAGTATAATAGGCTATTAGTGATCTTCAGCAAATAACCCTTACTCGTATCACTAAAGGCACGATATAAATCTGGTACAATACACGGGCGCGGAGGAGCGTACGTATGTACACGTCAGTCCTAGCATAATGTGCACAGCCAAATGCATATTGCAATGTTGCAATATGCCGATTGGTCGGAAACGCACACAACCGTGAAATCATTAACGCATGGCTAAGTCAGTGTAATGCACAAGGATACAGTAATTAACGAACGTCCAATGTTAATCAGACTTATCGACTTGAAATACGTGCACGTATGTACATCGCTTCGACAAGATGCGACTGCCATTTATGCTCCGAATTTGTACTCGATATTGATACGCTCCGATGATCACCGGCAATACGAAGATTATATTGGCTAAAGGCAATTCGACGAATCAAGCCGTAATTATTTGACGCATCGTCAATGTAAGCTCGGGAATAGCTTTGTATAGAGACGCATACGTTATACGGGAAGAGAAATACGTTATTCAAAATATAGATAAATAGGAGCTTCTGAGTGATGAGAGACCCTTTTATCTAAATCCATAACGGTGTGCCGGGCTTTTCATTTGATATACATCCCGACATATAGAACGATGTACTTCATCTACCATCCTACATTTATATAAATCTAAATTAATGCACGCAACACATATTTCATATCTATCATCTCTCCTTATAATTACGAGTTTCCTAATTTGATTTATCCCTCTCCCTCCTCTCTCTTTCTCTTTTTAATATTATTAGATATCTCCCAGATAAAGCTCGCACAATGCACAACGAAAGTTTTTTTCTTTTTACAGACCATTATACGGATATTTAAAGTGCAAAGAGCCTTCTAATATTACGCGCGTAATGCGCAATTCATAATGTTATCACGAGTCTTACTAGATATATAACAGGGATTTCCATAACGATGCTACGTTGATACTCGAGTAAAATGGCCTGCGTCGCCACAACCCTGAATTCACTTCTACTATCGCGCTCGCTCCATAATTAGCAAACTCAGTTACGTAACACCGTTATAGTAACGCTCGCGTTCCTTTATCTATTTTTCTCGTAAACTTGTTCGTGACAGGCTCATGGAAAAATGGCTTTGCATGGATAGCTCCGGGCGGTTTCTCCGTTGATACTGTTTCTTCTATTTACAGTAATATAGAACAATAAGATGGTTGATAATTAAAGACTAGTGAATACAGTCTAAAAGAATCGTATAAAACGACAAGTTAAATGTTAATGTTGATATCTGAAAAAGAAAATATGAATAATGTACCGCAAAGAATATAATTAATGCGTCACAAGTTTTTATCGGTTATTAAAATTTTACTCGCGAGACACATTTCTGAATACATAATTTTGTATCTGATAAAAAGTGCAAATAGATTAAATGAAACGCGATTTTGATATATCGCAATTATATACGTATAACATATCTCTCGGAGGAAAAAATGCAAACAAAGAAAACGTATGCAGTTGTCAAACGTTGAGATTTCCGACACCTTGATTATATGCAAATACATAAGCGTGTCACGCAAGGAGTCACGTAGTTTAGGTATCTTCGTGTTATGTCACGTCTACTCGGTGAAGACCGCAGTTAGTGCATGCTAAACTTTGAAGGCATACACAGCTATGTTTACGCTCGAGAAACGAGCATCCGAGAGACCGAACGCCGAATAGTTATGAGATGCATAACCAAAGTTAAGACAAAATTTTGATAATTAATTCTTTTAGCAGGGAACTTTTCTTAGTAAATGTATATTAATATCATTATCTGTTAAATAAAATCAAATAAATAGTTTTAAAAATATTCTGTTCCTATTTTAAGTGCATATTGTTATTATTAACTTTGTAAAATTATATAATAATAATAATAATAATGATAATAACAAATTTATTGATGTGCATTGAAGAAGCGTGAAACATCAAAAAACAATAATATATAATATAAGAACATGTATATACAATATGCGAAATATCAGTATGCTGGAAACCTGAATTAAAGTAAACCTGAACTAAAACTAATTACAAGTAATATGAACGCTAGGTGGAAATATAAAATAAGTTGCGAAATAAACTAATAAATATAAAAATATAAATAAATTAGATAGTTGATAAACAAGTAGAAATGAAAATTAAATCTAAAATAAACTAACAAATTTAAATAATATAAAATTAACTAAATGAAATTAATAGAGAATGCAGTATTGTTAGTAGTACGCAAAAAAATAATATAATTTAATAAATAATATGGAACAAAAGAGTATAGTAATATAAAATTATAGATATAATAGGCGAGATATCAGCATAATGATGACTGTAATAAACCTAAACCTGAAACCTAAAAACTAGTTAAAATATAAAACGCGTTTATATTCTTAATTTTAAGGAATTCAAGAAAATAAAAAGTATAAAGACACATAGAATTATCTAAATATTTAAACAAGTACATAATAACAAGTAAATATTTAAACAAGTGTTTACAAATAAATAGAAAACTATTAAAATACTGCATCGAATTGAACCAACACTATAGTACAGACAGAAGAGTGAATATCCTTCATAATGCATGTAATCTATCCTTGTTTTTATATTTTAACTGCAAAATATTATCGTCATTTCAATTTTAAAATACACAAGAATCGATTCTTAATATATCATTACTTAATAGTACGACATCGTTCTATGTTCAGGCGCTAATAGTGATTGTTATGGCAATAGCACGATTGATGTGACACTGTTTGGTAATTGGTCCAATTTCTAATTGGTCCAATTACTAAACGGTGCCATATCAATTGCGTTATTGCACGTACCGGTGCTATCATTATATTGCCGTGGCGTTACTGTTTACAGTTGCTACTGTAATGCCAGTTGATCTCTTTCAACGGCGCGTCGATAGTTTAATGCAATTGGCCCGGTTGCCCGGCTAGTAGTACAAGTCGAGATTCACCGCGGCGCGGCACGGCACGGCGCGGCCAGGCGCGGCGCGCCGTTGCGTCGGTCGCTCCCGGCTCTGCGACGGTCGGAGATTTACGAGGCGATTTACAAATTGGCGGTTATTGTGCCCCGCTTCGGAATGAAACTGTCCCCTAAATCAAAACGTCTCTGCCGGCGTTCATTAAACGTCAGGCCAATCCGGGAAATCGGCCGCTCGCGGTGCTTCCGCCGTACCGCCGTACGTCCGTTACCGCTCCTTCCTCCTCCTCCTCCACCTCCTCTTCCTCCTCCTTCGTCCAGCCTGACCCAGCGCACTTCCACCACCGTTTCCGTTATACGCGTCTGCAATCCCATTGCGCCGCGCCGTGACGGTTGCGGCACGCTCCGAATTTGTCGGATCTGTCGTCGATAAGCATAAATCGGATGACGCGCGACGGCTTGTTTTCCCGAAACAACGCGGCAATAACTGTGAGAAGTAAACACACGCGACGTCAAAAGTAGTTAAATTTTTGCGGGGCCGCATACGCCGATCGACGTATAGCCGGTCTGTCGACTTAAATCACGTTCTTACTTTAATCAATTAACGCACATGGCGCCAAGTGATTTTCCAATTAATTTTTCAAACTAATCAAACTAAACATCGTTATCTCTATTTTCCACAATCTACAGGAATTGGGATAGACAAGCTCATTTGATACTAGAAACTAAAATCAATCAGAAAAAATTGTTGATACTCACAAGCCACGTCTTTTATACACAAATATTTCGGAAACATTTATATACATATGAACTGATGGAAAATCAAATCTAGGTTAGTGATTTTCATAAATGACTTCCGATTATGGTAATTAATTTATGGCATTGATAATCGAATAATGCTATATTCGTACTGTGAATGCATAATGTAGAGGAAGGGAAGGAAGGAAATGCAAATCAATCAAGTGTATTAATCCTTTGGTGTCATACTATGCTTTATCACAGAAGCAACACACTGATTGTGAGTCTTATGTACAAATATTGCATAAAAATAAACATATAACAAATTTTAAAATTTAAATAAATAAGTATAAAGTCGAAACTTGTTCGAATTTTATTGAATACATGCCTTTAACATGACTTTTGCATGAATTTATTTTGATTTATTAACCATCCTTTTATGCTCGGTTCTGGCCATTATTTTTTTTGTATTTCAAATAAATATTGATTGCGGATCGAAAAAATAAAATTATAAAAATAAAATAAAGAATGACATAAAGGGCTAATGAGCCCTAATGATATATATATATATAAGCATTAACATCCAGCGTAGCTAATTAATCTTTTATGTCGCTTT